CCGTTTTACAAATTTTTCTATAAGTGAACTTAACTGAGTAATGAGAGGCAGGGGAGCAACAGGGCTGAAAAGCACCCTGTCTGGAGTCAGACTCCCTGGGTCCGGCCTCTGCTAGCCCTTACCGGCTAAAAATACTGCAGTGATCCTCTTACCTCCTTCCTGTCCCAGCTGTCCCACTTGTAAATTCAGAATCGGAGTGCTTCAGGGGATGGTTCTGAAGGCTGAGTCAACCATCTCTATCTGCCCAGAACATGGAATAGAGCCTGGCACACAGTACAGAAAAATCACCACTTATCATTATTAAGACTGGATCGATAAAATGGATAACTGTTCATAAAAATGACACATAGATTCCCTCTACCAAGCCCCTGGAAAGCACTGTTCCAGGGGTTGAGAGTTCCGCCAGGTTGCTCTCCATCTCCTTGGAGATCACAGCCTGCACCTGCCTAAACTTCCCACTCCTGCTTCTGTATCTTCTGCCCTTTGGTGCTTCCTTCTGGGCTGCAGCTTCCCCATCAGCCTGAAGGCTCACAGAGGAAGCGGCTGACCTCACTTATTTGCCGTCTGCAAGGAGACACCGCTACCCTCTTCCCAGTTTTCTAGCCAGAATCTTGGAGTCACTCAGGACACCTGGTCCCCCCCTTCCCATTTCCCATGGCCGGTCAATCCCATCTCCTGAACAGCTCCTGAGTGCACCTGTGTCCCCTCATCCCCCCTCTCCCAGAGAAGCAGCCAGCCTGCCTCTCACACGGACTTGTACACCTGCTGCCGACTGACTGCTGTCCTGCCTCCCCTCCCCCACCCTCTCCCTGCACTCACTTTGGAAGTGATGTCTTTCCAAACGCACACGGGAGACAAGGGTGCCAGCCCTCAAAGGGAAACCGGCCGTGTTTCCAGAGGAGGGGCGGCCAGGCCCACCACAGCCCAGCCCTTTAGCTGCCTGCTACCTAGACCCACGTGTATTCTTCATAAAAGGGGACCTGCTTTTTCATAACAAAGTCCCTCCCCGTTGTCCCAGTGGAGACATCCCATCTCACCCAGTTAAAACATCCTGCTCAGTTCAGGAGCTCTGGGAGCTGCCAGGGAGCCTGGCAGCCCATGACAGAGTGACAAATATGACATTCAGTATGGAGGAGAAAAAGCGAATGGGAAAACCACAACCAATATTCCTGTTTTCAAAAGCAGAGCGGGGAAAATGAGGCACGCTTATCTCTAAGACGAGCCAAGATTTCCTGCCCAGACTTGGAAGGAGTCCTGAGGACCCACCCTCACGAGCCACGCCTCCTCTACGGGGTCTGTCCATTCCTGCCTCCGTGGCCACCTGAGCCGTCCACGGTGCAGGGCGCCCCTCCCCGGGCCAGGTCTCAGCAGCCCTGTGACTATCCACTTGATGTGGGGTGAGACCCAAGGATTTCCTCGGGGTTGAACACTTCCATCCCTTGTTTCCTAGGCTTGAAGTGAAGGTGGTGCTGTGATTCTCTAATAAACTCACCCGAGTTTCAAAATTTAATGTTCTATCAGTTCTGGCTAGTAATCAAAACCAGCCACTCAACAACAACAAACTGTCACTGGGTAGTATGCTTGGATCCAGAGCTGGCTTTCTGTTGCCTAGCAACAGAATTCAGCGCTCTGCTCATCCCCATCCTGTTTCCATCTTGGTCTCTCACGGGGCCTCCAGGAACCACCGGTGTCTGCCCCTACTTCTGGGCTGCATCCTAGCTGTGCCGTTGTGATCATATCGGGATCGTCGGCCTCCGGTCAGGAGGCCCCAACCTTGTCTCTTTTCCCACCACCTTACCCCTTCCGGCCTCACTGGGTTTCCAGCTCTCCATGTCCCTGGATTCCGAGTCATAAGCACCAAGAACTCCATTATTCTTCCTCTCTCTGGTGAGAGTTTTCAGTACAGGGCATGAACTAGTCGATCCACTCCGACTTCCTAAAGTTTTCCACCTGACAAAGGTTCTTTGCTCGAGCAATCTTTAGTCAGGCTCCAGAACCTTCTCTAGGCCCTACTTCCTTGTAGGATCCACTTTTACCAAGAATGCTGCTAAGTCTGTTTATTCAGAACCTGATCAGGCTCCTTACCCTCCCCCCACTCCCCCAGGTGACCTCTGACCACCTGGCCTGCCTGCAGCAAGAATCCTGTTGGGTCGGCTTCGCCAGAAGCGCCCCCCGCCCCCCGATGTTTCCTGTTATTCATTTTCCATCCACTGACTCTCACCTGCTCCTGGGCCATAAATGTCCACTCACCCATGCGGCAGGCAGGGTTGAGCCCAGTCTGTTTCCCCCACTGCAAAATCCTATCCCACTGGTCCCTGTACACATCATGATGGTCCTGAATGAAGTCTGCCTTACCGTCTTCAACAGGCGTCACTGAATTTTCTTTTTTTTAATACATGTCAAACTCCTGACATTGTGGCCACAAAAATCTCCTGGCCTGAGTTTCAGGATGAAGGAGACTGTTTCATTCAGCGTGTCCCTTCCCTCTGCTCAGACCACCCTCCCCAACCATCCACCATCACCATCTCCTGCGTCCTTTGCAGGACAGCCCCGATTTATCCTTCCAAGTTCAACACAGACCACATCTCTCTATAGAACAGTGTTTGTCAAGCAAAGGAAATTACAGTGAGCAAAAATTATTGGGTGGGCAACCAGCACTTTAAGAAATGAATTAGGATAGAATCGAACATATCAGAGAGTATTGAGGGTATAAGTATTGTTCTGTGAAACTTTCAAGTGTTTGTCTGCCTGTGTGTGTGTGTGTGTGTGTGTGTGTGTGTGTGTGTCTTAAGGATGGCACCAAAAATGTTTGAAAACCACTGGAAGCTTCCCTGGGATGCCCTTATGGAACCCCACAACCTGATTTGGCCCAACTCTCCTCTCCTCTGCCCCAGCGGGCTCTCTAACGGCCCTCCCCCCTTCACAGCACCGGCCACACTGCACTGTAGTGGCTGGTTTCCTAAATCAGCCACACATTTCCAGGGGACAGAAAGTGCATGCCTGGTCCACTTTCCCTCCTCCAGCACCTGGCATCTCGTAGGTGCTCAGTAAATTGACGTTGAGTAAATGAATGCCCAGAACAATGCACAGGATGAAATGCAAGGTGTAACATTTTTACGAGGTACATCCTTTTAACAGGATGAAATCAAATGAATGAATTGTGAAGGTGATGCAGGCATCCATGGCGGCTCCATGTACTCCGGTTGAGGCGCCCCTCCCTGAGCCAGAGGCAGAGGAGACAAAGGGTCCTGCCCTCTTGCCCGCCCACCACCCCCAGTTCTCAGGGGTCCAGGTTCTGCAGCACCTCCCTGCCAGCCAAGGGAGACGGGCAGCCGCAGTTGGGAAGACACTGAGACGGGAAGTCAGAGGATCGTAATTAAACAGGACCAGAAAATGTACGAAGAAAATCAGCCTGGATACAACCATACTACAACACCAGCCCTGCCCGAGCCCCTGGCCAAGGCGCCCACGGAGCCGACCCCTGGGTCCAGACAGACCACCTGGCCTGCGTCTTCTGCTCTCTGCGTGCTCGCTTCCCCCGCTGTGTGTGTGTGTGTGTGTGTGTGCACGCGCACGCACGCGTCTATGCGTGTATGTTGTGTGTGTGTGTATATGCTGTGTGCACATGTGTGTGATGGGCACGTGTGCGTGCTCCTGGGAGAGCTGTCCCCTCACGCCCTCACGCCAGTCTCCCTGGTTCCTCAGGGGCCTCCCCAGCCAGGACTCAGGCGAAAAGAGGGACGTGAGTGAACTTCTTCCATCTCTGCTTCTCCCAGCTATTCAATCAGCGCTCAGGCCCTCTAGTGGCTCCTGAGAAAGGGTCCCCAGCTCCAACAGTACCTCATGGGTCCCCAGCTCCCCGTCCTCACGCAGAATCCGGAAGAACCCCTGAATCGGGAAGGATGCGTTCCTATGGCGTGTCCACGAACCGGCAGGGAGGCAGTGCTCAGGCGGACGGTGTGTCTGGGCACCGCAGGGTCAGAGCCTCCCCGGGTAGCTGGACCATCTGGTCAGCACCTGGACTTGGGAGCCGTCTTGCCGAGGGGACAGGAGAGGGAGGAGTGGGGGTGGGGAAAGTGACGCACTTTCTCCATCCTCGGCGTTAACACAAGAGACCAGTCCCGGGTGGGGAATTTAGAGACACAAGACTGGAGCCTTGTGAATGGTGCGCACGGAGACCGCTCATCACGGCCAGGACAGTAGGCAGAGGTGGAGGCACTGCAGAGGGGCCGAGGACAGAGCTCCTGGGACGTGTGTCCTGGCCTGGCAGTGCCCGGCCTGGGGAAAGGAGCAGCCTTTCCTGGGTGCTCAGCTGACTCTGCGCGGGTCCAAGGCTGTGCTCTCCAGGGGTTTGAGAACGCCAACAAAAAACCCAGAACAGGGATGACAAGGCCCATCCGCGTAAAGGGGCCAAAGCCCCCTATGCTTGGAATAAACTCCGGTAACCCCAGCCCAGGCAAGGTCTGGGACCCAGCGTTGTAGGCAGGGGCGGGGAAAGGATGTGGGCGCCAAGGGCCTGCGGGCCACACAGCCCCAGTCCACAAACTTCACGCTGGCCGGCCCGTCCCCCCCGCGAGGTGCCCAGGCCGCGGGCGCGCCGGGCCGTCTCTGTCGCCATCCAGAGGCGCGGTTCCGGCGCTTCGTCCGCTCGGCCGCCGCCGGCCTCCGCAGCCAGCACCGGGGCCCCGGCGGGGCCCCCGCGGCGCCGGGCACGCGCATCGGGGGCGCCCCTCGCATTGGTGGCCGGCGCGCCGAGCCCGGGCGCGCAGCGACGCCCAGAGCGGCAGGGCCGGCGTCCCCGGGCTCGGCGGGCGCGGGCGCGCGCGGCGCGGGGCGGGCCGGCGCAGGGCGCTGTGGGCCGGAGCCCGGGCGCGGGGCCGGCGGCGGGGTGGGCGGAGGATGGCGCGCGCGGGGCCCGCACGTGGAGGCCGGCGCGGGGGCGCGGGCAGGGCCGGCTGCTGAGACGCGCTGCTGCCCCCCGCGCGGGCGCCGCGGCTTCAATGGCGCCATCGCCCAGGACCAGCAGCCGGCAAGATGCGACCGCCCTGCCCAGCATGTCCTCAACTTTTTGGGCGTTCATGATCCTGGCCAGCCTGCTCATCGCCTACTGCAGTGAGTACCGCGCGGCCCGGGTCCTCGGCCGGCCCTCCGGTCCCGGCCCCGGCGCCCGTTCCCCGTTCCCGGGCCGCGGCTCCGGCGGGGCGCCCCGCGGGCCGCCCGGAGTCCGTGAGGAGTTGCGAGCTCGGGGCGCGCCGTCCCCCGGGTACCCGCCGGTCCTGCGCTGGGCCGGGAGGGCGAGGGGCCGGCACTTCGGAGGCCGGCGCCACCGCTGAGCCTCCCTCCTCCGACTCCGGGGCAGGGCCCGGGCACCAGGCCCCGGGTGGCGCGGCGCGTCCCTGCGCGGCGATGCCCGCGGCTGCCCGGCGTGCCGCCGCCACTCCCGGCCCAGGCCCGCGATCCGAGCCGAGCCGGCGGCTTCCCGGCCGAGCCGAGCCGCGCTCTCCGGAGGCGGCGGCAGGTCCGGGGCGGGCGGGCAGCGCTTCCTGGGCTGTCGGTGGAGCGCCTTGCCCTGAGCTTTCCGCTGGCGACACTCCGGCGGGAGACGCGGCGGCCGAGTCCGGAGCGGGGCGCCTGGGGCAGGAGCGGGGCTCGGGCTAGGTCGCGCGGCTGGAGCTTCTGCCTTCTCGGGAATAAGGCTCGCCGGCGCTTTCCTAAAAAAGATAAGTGAGGGCTGGGGTGCCCGGAGAGGGCTCGCCGCTTCCACCGGCATTTCGCGAGTAGGGTCCGAGGACCCGAGCCGGTGACCCAGTGGGTCTGGCGCGGGGCCACGGGCTCGGGGCTGGGGTGGCGCGGGCTGGCGGGCGCCCGGGGCACAGGCTGGGGGACCGCGAGCAGGGTCGGGGTCTGCCTGGGTGTGTCGGGGGGGCTGCGCCCGGGGCACAGGCTGGGGAATGGGGGAATGGAGGCTGGTGGGACGCTGGGCACAGCCTAGGGACTGCGGTGGGGGTGGATGGTCAATGCTCCGGACACGGGTTCGCGGCTGGTTGGATGGGTGGGGAGTGGTCAGCGTCCCGGGCACAGGCTCCGGGCCGGGATGGTGCGGGCAGGTGGGCTCCCCCGCCGACCGCCTGGCACAGGGTCCGGGTCCCTTCCTATCCCAGCGGGAGGAAAGGACGGGCGCTGAGGAACACCTTTCATGGAGAATTGCCATGGGCGATGGAAAAATATGGATTCTTTACAAAAAAAAAAAAATTGAGAGAGAGAGAGGGAGAGGGAGAGAGAGAGAGAGGCCGGCGCGGGGCCTCGCTCCCCGCCACCACCTCGCAGCCCTCGGCCACCTAGCTCCCAGCCCGAGCCTTCGCTCTCTCCAAAATGGGACCGCGGCGGGCCATGGAGACGCGGGGCGCGCGCGGTCGCGGAGTCCTGGGACAGCACAGCCCCCCCCCCCCCCATCCTCCCCGAATGGCGGGGGAAACCCGGTGCTCAGAGCAGGAGTCGTGCTGCTGGTCTCAGCCGGGTTGTGCATTTCGCTGCAGTTGCTGGGGACGCGTGGGGACGCGTGGGGAGGGGTCTCCGAGCGGGAAGGTTCCCCGTGGGGCCGCAAGCCCGACTGCCCAGACTGGCACCGCCATCCCGGCTGCACCCTGCCTGCCCCTCCGAATGCGTTCCTGCGCTGGCTGCCTGGAGGGGGGCTGTTCTGGGGGTTTGAGCGAGGTGTGTGCCCTCTCCCCAGCTCCTCGCGGCCATCTCGGGGCCCTGGGGCAGCGTTCCCAGGGTTCCAGAGAAGAGCCTCAGCCGGCTTCCTTGGCCATGGGGAACAGGTGAAAGGCAGGTAAACTCGGGGCTCACCCAGGAGGTGTCATTTAAATGCACTTCCTGGTGGCAGCATGGGAGGGGGGCTCATCCAGCAGTGTTTGGGAAGGGGATTGTTGTGCCCCGAGTCCCCAGGCTGCGGTCCCTCCCCGGCTCTGGGGACAACATCGTTGGTGCCAAGGCGAGAACCCGGCAACAACAGGCTGGCCGGGGAGGCAGCCCTCCGGGTACAGAGAGGAGCAACTGCTAATTGTTCAGTACATGACACCTCCGCCCTGCCCTGTGGCTTCAACACTTCCCACCCCAGGTGCGCCAGCCAGGGCCTTCCTTTCTCACCTTCTGTGTGCAGTCTCTGCTCACTCCACCCCCCCACCCAGCACCTCCTGAACCTGAAGGGGGACCGGCTATGTCTGTCCTGACACTCAGACCTTTGCCAGACTGCTGCCTGCTCCAGGTGGCGGTCCGGGCCTGCCCGCTGCTCAGACACTTGGTGGAACCCGAGATCCCATTGGACACTCAGGCTGCTTTGCGGAGGCCTCCCTGGCATTCTGGAAACAGCTTTTCCACCAGGACGACGACATTTGGTAAAAAAAAAAAAAAACCCATCTAATCCAGAATGGCCGAAATCATTAATAACCGAAGCTTGGGTTAACCACATTTTTATGGTTGTTTCCACCTCCATGGAATGGAATAGCTGACGATAAGATAACGTTTTTGGACACACCCCATGACACCAGAAAGGCACTTGGAGAAATTAAAACATTTCACTAATATACAAAATAGACATATGCACTTGGAGGAATGAAAACACTAAAATACGAACTAGACATGATAATAATCGATAGCTTGGAACACCAGCCCTAGAGAAAAAAGAACTTCTTTTTTTTAGAATTGATATAAAGCAAATAAAATGCAAGTGGAACAGTTCCTGTGATTTCATTCTCTTTTCCAGTATATCTGGGATGAAGAAGAATAGCTATAGCACCCGTGTCTGTAAATTGTTTTTGTTATCAGTAAGGACTTCTATTACCCAAAATGTTTCTGTGTTTTGGAGCAGATCTATTTGTGTCATTAGTTAGGGAGACTGGTAAGTGTCACACAGGATTGTTATCCTGCCTATTAAATCTGTGCATTTCTCTGCAGCACAAAAGGTGTTCACTTTCTGGCGCTGCTAGAAAAAAACTGGAATCTTTCTTGGCGTCGTTTTCGGTTAGGGGTGTTCTGTTCTTGGCCCCGAGAAAGCCCTCCCTTCCTTGCCGCCTGCTGAGATTCATATTTAAGGAGATGGGCTCCACCCTCTGGCTGGAGAAAGACCTGCAGTCCACCAATTAAGTTAGTTGCTATAGTGACACAGCCTTGTCATTTTTCTCCTATTGGGGAACAATTGACAGGAGAAACAGAAAGAGGAAGGGGGCCCTTGATGGCTTTCTTTAGAGATGCAGACTCCATCTCTGTGTACGTTCCCATTACAGCAGGGATGGACGCTTGGTAAAGACTTATCTTGGGGAGGTGATGAGCTCCGATGAGAAAATTGAAACTCTCCTCTCTGGTCTGGGGAAACCTCTGTCCTCATGGCTTGGAAAGCGCTGAGTTAGATCGTCTTCCCCTTAGCGTATCTGGAGAGGCGAGTTCTGCCTGGACCTGGTTCTTGGGTGGAGTGGGACGGCTCTGGCAAAACCGTAGTGGTTTGCCTGTGTGCTGTGCTCAACCCCGAGACCCCGAAGATGCAGTCTGCTGTGCTGGCTTACAACATACTGGCTGTAATAAACCGTGAGGGAGGTGGAGAGAATGATGAACTAGTGGCGGCCTTAGGACACTAAGCCGTGACTTGACACCGTGCACGGTGTTTATTTCGAAGTCCGAGAAGGCTGTGCGTTCACGTAGATTGCCCGTCTCCTCTTTGGATGGGCTTGGTGGACAGCTGCTCCTGGCGTGTAAACGGTGGGTGGGAGGAAGGTCTTATATTTGAAAGTACCAGGGAGTAGGGTGCGAGAGGCAATGGGACTCTGTTTTTGACTTGTTTTTTTTTTCAAATAAATCTCATCAAAACTGAATGGCAGCTTTAAGTTAAATCTCATACCGTAGACCTCATGCAATTATGAGAAGAAATTACAAACAACTTCTGAATTGTTTTTTAATCCATTAGAATACTAAAGAAACGTAGGCTTTCTGATGCTGCATTTTCCTTATAAATGCGATTTATTGCATATTTAGGAGAGATTAGAATATGCCACTTTCCTGCTGTTCAAATTTGATTTCTGGGGTTTTCCAAGAGGTGAAATTGGAAATACTGGAAACTGAATGAAGTGATGACATTCAGAAGTTTATTTCTCATCTTTTTTTTTTTTCTCCTACTGTGTTTTTTATTTGATGAATTTCTGGCCGGAGAAGATGTGCTGTGTGTTTCTTTCAACAACATGAGGAGATAGATTGCCTGTTTGTGGGATTTGTATTGGTGGAACTCCACGCCCAAGGATCGGCGAGCTGGGGGAGGTTATGCCCCTGGAAGCCAGACAGACCAATTGGTGCCCCCTCCCCAGCCCCACACCCCTCCCCCCCCAGCCCAGACACCACCAAGAGGGGCCACGCCCTCCAGGACTCCCCTGGCAACTCACTCTTTGCAGCGAGGCCAGAGGATAGCGCCTCCCAAACGGGGGCTGTGTGCCATAACTCAGCTGGCCGGGTCTTTGGTACCAGGCGTCTGGGCTGAATTCCACCCTGGAATTTCTCGCTCAGGACCTGCCACTTGACATCCCCCGGGAGGAGATATGGAGATCAGCTTTTGTGGCATGAAGTATTTTCAGGTGACTTTTATGGGTGTGATTACGGGAATATGTTATGATAATGTGGCACGAGAAATGGGAAGAAAAGCAAAACACTGAAATCCCCATTTCTTTATATAGCTTCTCAGCTGCGCTGATTTACAAGGGCTCATTTTTGCATTAAAATGTGGTGCTCTGGAGTTAATGACCTCTACAGAACGCCACCTGTCACCCAGAGCCCTGGGTGCCCGCTGAGTGTTGGAGAGGAGATGGGTTGACAAGGAGGATGTGGGTCAGGGTTCCTGCGTGAGAGGGGATCAGTCGGATGCTGGTGGCAGAGGGGGCTGCCGCTGGATCTGCTGGACTTCATTTGTTTGGGGGATTGTCACTGGCTGTCCTCTCAGGGGCCGGGGCTGGCACATGGGGTTGAGAGTGCCTGGTGGTGTCCCTTTCTGCAGGCAACCGTGCACGCCATCCGTGAACCCCAGAGCCGAGCTCCGGCTGCCCGGGCTGCCCCGGGGCTCCCACGGCTTCTGC